ACTCCCACCACACGAACGAATGCCAGCAGCTCCAAAAACTGCAACACGAACGACGCCCCCCGTACCAAGGCTACAACCAAGGGCGACCCGCGCAGAAGGCAGGATACAACCCTCCACGCGACAGGGGCGGCGGTCGCTTCCGCCGAACCGACGCATTCAACCGCGCACGCAACAGCGCCAACGCCGCTCTGCACATACAAGACCCCGAGGATTACAATGAATGCTATTATTCCCCATACAACACGGAGCACACGGAGGAGCCCGACCAGCACAAAGGCAGCGACAATGAAGAGGACATGGCACAGGTACAGCACACCCCGTCTCACAAATACTACCTCGATTCTGGATGCACACCATCCTTCTTCCGATATGCGCCTACTAACGCCCGTCGCCAACACTCCACCACGGCTCTCCCCAACAGCTCCGGAGCTAGAGGCACTCATACGTCTTCCGTCACGCTTCACGACCACCGAGGAGCCACACTCCGCGTACCGCACGCCATCACAATCCCCACCTTTTCCAAAAACCTACTATCAGTAGCACAAGTTACTCTACAAAATGACTGCCACGTAGTGTTCACGCCTCACGGCGGCTATATGATACCTTCCCACACCCCCACCCCACAAAACGCATTCGCGCATTTCACCCTTGACAACGGCTTATACAGCATAACGCTGAGTGACACGGCCAAGACGTCACCAACGGGCATACCGCTACAACTCGAGTCTCGAGACCCCCCCGGCAGAGTGCTACAACACGCACGAACCGAAACGCTCCATCGACGATTACTTCACCAAAGCCAAACCGAGACCACCCCCCCAACGAGCAATGCAACAGACCCCAGCATAGCCACCATGCCCAACACCCACGGCCTTCACAACAAGAAAACCACCCCACATCATCCCCCCCCGCCACCGCAGAGTCGCCACAGACCGAACGACACACATCACCCGTTTCCCATACCACCTCCCCGACATACCACCAACTCTCCGGGAAGCCGCGAACGACCTCTACACGTGGCATCTCAGGATGAACCACACATCCCCGACAACGCTCCAAAAAATGGCCACACTCCCCATCCCACTAGGCCTCCCAGCGTCAATAAAAAAACGCCAAGTGCCCATTCACTGCCACGGCTGCAGTGTAGGACACATGCAACGCGCCGCCCACCATGACCACATCACGCGGCCCCTGGCCGGGCACACGATCACAACTGACATGGCCGGACCGTTCCCAGCCACCCCCGAAGGCCACAGGTACTTCCTCTCCTTCACCGAGCTGCATACACGCTTCACAACCATCGTACTCCTACGCCGTCGCGCGGACGCCGGCAACCACATCCGCTCTATACTAACGCGCCTTCCCAGGCACTTCCACCGCCCCGTCGCACGGGTACGATGCGATAACGCGGCAGAATACCTCACCAAACTGCTCATCGGACTATTGCCGTCCATGGGCATACACCTAGACCCCACCACGCCCCATACCCCGCAAGAGAACTCAGTATCAGAACGACTCAACAGGACCCTCGTCCAGAGGATGAGAGCAACACTCACCGCAGCCAAACTACCGTTCCAGAAGTACTGGGCACTGTGCCTACTAGACACCACCATTAAGCACAACTCATGCTACCACTCCACCATCCAAGACATCCCCAGAGCAGTCTGGACACGGCATCGCCACGCATACTCCCCCTTTCCCCACCGTAGTCTCTTCCTCGGCAACTACCGCATGTTCGGCGAGTACGGCTTCATACCGGACGTACGCGCAATCAAACAGAAAAGCGATAACCGCGGTATACTAGTACGATACCTCTACCCAGTAGACGACCGGCACTACAAAGTACTCAACCCCCGGAATGTACAACTGATGACTGCGCGCATAGTCAATTTGAGACCCTACAACCCCAAATTTGACCCAAGCCTTCGGTATGCCCACCCACTACCACCTGCGGAGGTAGTTCACCCAAGGGTGAACGCCCACCACGTCATACCAACCGAAGCCAACCTGGTAAGCCACACAAAAATCACATCGGACAACACTACCGGGAGCAAGCCACCCCCCAAACCACCACGCAATCTGTACGAGGCACGAGCAGCCCCCGACGCCGACGCGTGGGCTACGGCGTACGCCAAGGAAACCAACATGCACTCATCGTTCGGGACATTCGCCTACGTCCCCCGTGCAGCGCTCCCGCCCAAGACCAAAGTACTCTCACCGGTAGTGAATCTAAGCTACAAGCTAGACAAGCCCGGAAACGTCATCGGGCATAAATTACGGTGTGCCTACCCTGGAAATAGACTTACGCCGGGCATACACTACGACGCACGAGCCGTGTCGACATTCTCTACCGATAGAGACGCCATGCGACTTGTCCTCGCCGTATGCGTTTCACACGGCATCCGCGTGAGACACATAGACCTCACAAGCGCCTTTCTCCACGAACCGTACTGCGGCAAAACACCACTCTACTTCACACCACTGCCACACTTCAACGGTACACCAACTCGACCAGGCATGGTCGCCCGCATACAAAAAAACCTCTGGGGCACGCCACAAGCCCCGCGCGTATACAGCGACGGCCTCCGTCAACATCTCATCACCCACGGCTATACACACCTCAAAGGCGACCCAAACGTTTACCGAAAACGCGACGGGGACAAATTTTTGATCATGGCGTTAACTATTGACGACCTCGCCGTCGGCACTAACAGCGACAGGATGTACAAAAGCCTGCTGGCCGATCTCAGGCAGAAATACCGCGTCAAAAACCTCGGCACTGCGGCTCACCTAATCGGCTGGTCATTGAACTGGTCACACAACGGCGCATTGCACATCTCCCAACCACACTTGTCCCGGTCCTTCGTACACCTCCTCCGTATGGACAAGACCAAGCGCGCCCACACCCCATATCTCTCCGGCATGAAGCTGCACGCCCCCGACCCACAGGAAACATGCCTAGACACAAAAAAATACCCCTATGCCCGAGCGATAGGCATATTGCGATACCTAGTCGACTCCACCCGACCCGACCTCACCTACATCACTTGTGTGTTATTCCGACACACCAAACCCTTCACAGGGCGTCACTGGACGGCCCTCAAGCACGTCGCGAGATACCTACTCAACACCATCCACCACGGCCCAATATACACAGCAGGTCCCCATCGCATATCCGCGTTCTCCGACGCAGATTTCGCCGGGTGTCATGACACCCGAAAATCGACGATGGGCAACGTCATTTGTTACGGCAATAACGCCATATCATGGTCGTCCCGCCGCATCAGGACCGTGGTGGATTCCACGTTTGCATCCGAATACATAGCTGCAAGCGTAACCGTGCAGCACGCGAAATGGCTGCGCAACCTCACAACCGAAATTACCGGCACCAAACTCCCCACGACGGCGCTTCATATGGAGAACCAAGGCGCAATCGCCGGCGCCGAGGCGTCTGCGCCCACACGCAAAACAAAATATATCGACGTACGATACCACGTGTTACAGCAACTGACACGCGACAAGGTAATATTACCAACCTACGAACCATCTGCAGACCTCCAAGCGGACTGCCTCACCAAACCGCTCACGCGGCAAACCTATGCCAAACACCTCAACAGCATACGCCTCGTCTCGCAGCCGCGCACCCACGGCTGTAAGGGCACCACAACACCACTGCGCGACCACGAGAACATCAGCGCAGACTGTAAGGGCACCACAGATTAGCCCTAAATCACACACATATTAAAGTGTGACCCGGGCCTCCTACGGCGGGGTCCGGGATCATCGTTCCCCTAACTCCTCGCACCTTAGCGGCGGCGGAGGCACGGATCCGCGGTCTATTTGGGTGACACCTGTGGTGCGTGTTTGCGTGTCCTAGGTGTGTGTGCTGTACATGGGAATCATGACAACATCACTATGTCAGTGTCGATGTGGCGATGGTTGAGGTATGATAAGGGAAGGATACTAAGGATACTGAACTACGGTTGGCACCCCGGTGCTCTATTAAGTCGGCGGCGACGGCCGCTCTGTGACCTCGCGCCCTCCCGGGTTGTCGGAATATAGCAAAGTCTAAGAGTCGTTCTCTACTTTGGTCGCCCCTCGGCGTGCGGCCGAGGCTCCGGCGCTGGCGGCCCCTGCCGCCACAGAAGCGGCAGGGCCTAATGGGTGTGACGAAGGAGGGCGGTGTCGGACGAAACTAATGACCACTGCGTGGTCTCGGCGTTAGCCGGGATCTACAAGGGTGAGCGCGGTCTGGTAGCCCGAGTAAACTTCATCTTTCTCTAACTCTCTTTGTTTGTCTCGGGACCTGATTGACAGTCAGCTGTTCTCAGTGGAGCCCCGAGGCTCCTTTCAACTGTTTTTTTGTAGCACATACAGGGTCTTCACAGCTGCCATCCACCTTGTGTTGTCTCGACCAAATCGTAAAAACAGAAAGCCCGGTGACAGTCACGGAGAACGAAGACAATATGTGCAAATGCAAAGAGGAGTAAGTGTGGGCACAGTCAGCAGTCTCGATAGAGGCCAGTGAACCTTCGTCATTCCAGCGGCCTGCCCTCTATACCGACGAGACAGGAGTTTGCTTTGATGCTTGATGAAGCCCTTGTATCGTGGAGACTTTTGCAAAGCTTGTGATGAAAATCCATGCATTTATTGTCAAAGATAATTAAGAGCTGGTTGTGCTGAAGTGCCCATCTCTGGAAAAAAGCGTGCATGTGTATGCTGTACTCTTCCAACAGCCGACTTAAAAGTCTAGTGGATACGTTTTCAGGTTAAGAGTAATCTTTTAGGGAACGGGATGTCTCTCCTCAAACCTGGCGCAATTTAGTGCACCATTAAGGTTGTCAAGATTCTATTGCCGAAAACAAGCACGTTAAAGAAATAGAGCTCAAGGTAGCTTTTTGAATGTTCAATTTACTTTATATATTTTTGCAAAAAAAGAGCTGTCCTCAGATGAGGACATCGCCGTCCACATATGAGGACAGGCCCCGGTCGGGTAGACACTAGCTAGTGGGGTACAGAGTCCCGTTGCACTGGCTCAGCCAATTGTCCAGGAGTCTAACCGTTCCGGCTACCTGGCACTCTTTTAGTCCTCTCGGTTTCCCCGTTTCCTCTTGAACGTGCGGCAAATCCCCGTCTGTCACAGTCACTTTCTCGAGGTTGTTATTGTCCTCGAAGTCAACCCACAAGTCCCGGCCGTCGGTGTAAGTGTGTAACATTCGAAATACGTTGCCGTCGAGTGCCGCCGTAGCTACGTACCTGCTGTTCGGTGATGATTGGTGGTTCTTCACGTAGCAAGCTTGCGTAACCCCACTCTTCATACAAATATCACCCGATCTGATTAGCCCCAAGAGCCAAAAGCCTACGTTCTTGCCTCCGGCGCCGCTCAGCAATAAGTTGAACATGGAGTTATTAAGTTCCATTGGCCCCTCTCGGTCTGTCGCGTCCTGCCAAACGATTTTCCCGCTCATGACCTCTACCTCCCTGATCTTAGTCACGAGCCGTGTCAGGTCTGATGGGGTGAAGCCTCTTGAGCTATAAAGCTTACCCCCTTCACAATTCAGGACTAACCTGCTCAATCCCCGCCAGTATGTTAAGCGGGTCGTGCAATGTCCGACCTTCTTCCCGTGTCCTGGCTTCAGCTTGACTCCGTTCCAGCGTACCTCCTCCCCCCGACTCAAGATCATCGTTGAGGCCACACCCTTCTCGTCAATGTCGTACTCCCCAGTACAAGCCTCTCTGAATTCGTCCTCTTGGACGTCAAGGCCCATTAGTGACACCACTCCGTTGCGGTCTCGACTAATAGAGAAGTCTCCGTCTAATTCTGCCAATGCCGCGGCCACCTGGCGCTGTTCGTCATCAAGCGGGGAATCCCATAGGAGTTCGTTGATCACTCGTGAATGTGTTAGGTCTTCCACCTCGAAGCCGCCACACTCCCGGATTTGTCTCGCGGTTAACAAGTAGAGCTTCAGCCGGCAAGCGTTGTATCCCACCTGTCCGAACCGTACCAGTCTGCTGATGTTCGTGTGTGCAGTTCCTTGTCGCCACGGGTGGCTAGGTCGCGCAGGTCTCCTATCCAGGACCAGCTCTCTAACAGCACTAGTCATGTCCTCGATGTATCCGCGTCGCCCCATTTCAGAAGTGACCGTCGCTGAACCGTGCGCAACCGAGACCTTGAGGGCTACTTCTTCTCCACTGTACGCAGTGATTTCGAGCTTTCCGGTGCTGCCCACTGCTTCACATATTCCTTTAAGTAGTGACACCATCTCCAGGAATTCAAAAAAGTTTCCCCAATACACTCTCTCCTCGCTGTAGGAATTAGGGTCCGCAGCATTAGCTAATGCCCGCTTAATGCTGCTTACTAGCCTTTCTGCCAGCCTTCCCCTCCTTCCGTTGGCTCTGTATGTAACTTCACCCTTGGGAAAGATCAGGTCAACCCGGTTAACCCAGAAAACCTCCTCGCCCGGAACATATCCTGTAATCGATATAGCCGGATCTCCAAGGTAAGACCACCTTCTACCACACTGGTCCTCTATGTGGCGGCTGTCTTTTGTCCTGTCGTCTGAGCTCGCTATCACTATCAACATATCTCCGACGTTGACAGGTTCTAGTCGTGCGACCTCCTGGACAAATTTTTCCAGCACAGAGGGGTCAAGCACACTTACATCTCCCTGTATGTCCGCTCTAACCCTAGACGACTTGCACACCGCCAGGTCCATTAGTTGAGAGCAGCGTGACGTCACCATCTCTTCGCGCAGTTCGGGTACGGTGATGTCCCCTCTAACGGAGTGCCCGTCTACCAGCTGCTCGCTAGGCAGCTCGAGAAGTCTCCAAAAGTTCTCAGCTTCTGTCCGCAGTCCTCCTCCGGCTGCGGCGGCTCCGTTCGCGGCTACGGCATATAGCTTGCTGTTAACCACGCTCAACATCGCTCAAATCTGTGAAGTACAGGTGACGCTTGTGAATCGTGGAGGAATAGAATAAGTCAGTACAGTAGCCAGAAAGTGAGAACAAGCACGATGGGACCGAGGTGCAGGAGCAAAGCGGGTCCGGTGGGAGAGAGAGCAAGGGAAAGGTGGAGACAAGTGCGTGCGCTTATATGCTGTCTACAGCTAACATTAGCCCAGCCGTCGCTGCCACTCCAAAATGCGCAAAATACCGTTGTTCACACTCTCTCGGACACATCTAACAGCAGATTCCTTTCAAACTACTGCATTGTACCCCATGTCGGCTCTTGTACTGTATATCGCTCGAGTCTTTGTCATGATACTTTACCGATGGCTATCGGATGTATGTTGCAGGCGACAGGCAGCCGCCGTGTGGCGGCAATTACGGTCCCTTAATGGTATTTCAAAGCCTCAGCGTAGTTGTTGCATCGTGCTGTAATCTTCATGGGTCAAGTAATGGATCACGTACAGTATGGGAATCTGCATGCTCGCCCTTTGACGCTGTCATGATTCCCATGTACAGCACACACACCTAGGACACGCATACACGCACCACAGGTGTCACCCAGATAGACAGCGGCTCCGTGCCTCCGCCGCCGCCTCTTATTAGAGCCTCGTCCGCTAGCCTCAGTAAAACAGAGTCATCGTTCCTTGCACCACAGACGCAAATTCTATCCCCAAGTCTGAATTATCCATTCCCAGAGGCCCTTCACGTTTTCTACCTTGCATATAGCAAACAGAACGCGACAATGCACTGAACATGGCAAGGTGCCGATACTGCACAACCCCTTATTTTCGCTGACCAATCACGCCTTGTTGTTCCGGTCGTGATTTGACAACTATTCAGAGTGGCAGGGTTGTGGATGGCGCAGTCGTGATTCTGCGGGGACGGTTTTCTAAAGATATGAGCAAGTTAGGGTCCTGTGTCTTGTTTTTTGAGGTTGCCGTTTCTAAAGTGTACCCTTGGGTACCCTCACAGACCAAGATAAGGGAAGAATCCTCTTTTTTTCTTGCATCAACAACCAGAATGCACCCTTTCCAAATGGAAGCATGGCCAGGCTTGTCGAATCAGAGAAAAAAACTCGGTTACAATAGTTACAGATACAGGTCTTGTCTCAGATACAGCCCACTCAACGCTGAATTTGCGGTACCAAATACGGGCACGGAGAAAGTCGCTTCAACTGCTTAGTGGGGAAGGACAGTTGGACATTCATAGACTGCGGGATATATTGCAGTCTTGATTGCGTTGTCTATCATATTCTGCCCGCCGTGGTGATAGTTGAGGTGGGGTGCGTAGATATGATAACGACTTGTCGTGACGAGTTCCGTACAGTCAGGACGCGAAAGGATCCATATCAATAAAGTACAGCACGGCAGCCCGGTTGATTTTTTTTTTTTTTTGGTTTCGTTTTCACTGGCAGCTCTTACCAAGGGTATCTTACCAAGGGTAAGAGCTGCCAGTGAAAACCAAGGGTATCTTACCAAGGGTCTGCTCGACGCCCCAGCGTGCCTCGTGTGCCCACGCTTAATGTAGGGTTGCTGCAACAATGTAGTTTCTACGCCCGGGGCATATTCTCTCTCTAACAGATCTTTTACACGCCCATCAGTTTCGTAACGCGTTGCGAAAGCCCACAGAGTCGTCTCTTCCCCTCCTCCCCATTCAGCCGAGACGAAGTTGTTTTCAGTAAGGGGCTTTACTGCGCTGCAAATTGCAGCGCAGTAAAGCCCCATACAAGTCTTGTATAGCTCCCTGCGACGCTGTCATGGACACCTCCTCGCAAATCGCATATCATACGCAAACCAATTCATCTACAGGTACTCGCCCATCAAGGGGTAGGGACTGACCATAGAATACAGTGCTTCCGCCTTATAAGAACGGGCGGGAGACAAGCTCTGTATTCGTATATAGCGGTTATTCTTATCGGTGTCTTTATGATAAGGTCCAGCAAGGTCGTCAGCGCCTTCTGAAAATGGAGTACTGTATTCGGGTCTGTTGCTACTCCTTCACTCTTGCCAATGCTATTCTTCGCCTAACGCGTCTGAGATAGCGGACTACATGTATCGCTGGAGCGTCTTTTGCCTCGACAATTGCTATAGTGGTACGCATTCAGTTGTTCTACGTCTGTTGGTAGTGCGTCTGATACAATAGCATCTGAATGAGATTACTCATGCGTGAAACTGTTCTCATCTTCTTTTAAAGCGTGCATGTCGGAGTCTGTCATATTCTCGATAGAGACTTCTGCATAAATTCTCCAAATTTAATCTCCAAAATAGAGCTCATCTAAAAGGATTTATTCTTTTCGAATAAGAATAAAATGCTGCTCCATGTGCCTTTTTTGGGCACTTCCAGGACGGGAGCCAGTCATCATATTCTATTACCGAGGTTATGCTCTTAGAGCATCTCCACTGGCGAGGGTCTATGGGATATAATGTATTTGTCCAAAATGCCAGGTGGAGAATTACAACTGGCTCCCAGTCAAACATTAGACCGCACTCGGCCGCGGGTCTATGCTATTGATAGATGGAGCTAAAAAGGGACCCCTCTCCACCAGTGACGGTCTAATGGTCTATCTTCTGCTCTCGCACGCCTGCCCCCCCCCTCCCTTCTTAATTCCCCCGCCCCTCTCTCTAACTGCCAGTTCGTATTTCCACAGAACGACTATGAACTTCAACTTAGACGAACTCGTGCATGACAGTGACGACGACATTGTCGATACTGTCGCAATTATTGTAGCACGTGATAAGCTTAACGAAGAGAATGACGGAAAGCACGGCGGATCCCGTCCTGGACGTAGTCCAAACGTCTTGCGAGACTTTTCGAGTGGGCATCGCCGCATAATGCTGGATTACTTTTGGGACGAGCGGAGCATGAGGTATGATGGATCGGGAGAGCGGGGTCCTGTTTACAGTGCTGGCCTCTTCGAAAGAAGGTTCAGAATGCCGAAAGAGCTGTTTCTCCGCGTGTACGACGGTGTCATTGAGAAAAACGCCTACATAAGACTGGGGATTAATTCGGACTGTACAGGACGAAAAGGAATCCATCCGCTGCAAAAGGTTGTTGCTTCCATGAGGCAGCTGTCCTACGGCATTCCAGGTGACGCTGTGGATGAGTACTGTAGAATGAGTGAGACTACCGCTCTGAAGTCGCTCCGAGAGTTTTGCCGGGTGTGGTTTCTGCATTTGGAATTGAATACCTGCGCGCGCCGACGCAAGTAGACCTTCAGCGCATTGAAGCGCGATTTGCACAGGTAGGATTTCCGGGCTGTATGGGATGTGTGGACTGTGCAGGGTGGGATTGGAAAAATGCACCAAAGGCACATCAAGGTCATAACGTAGGAAAAGAAAAAGTCTCTACACTACGAATGGAAGTTATTTGCGATTTGGATCTTTGGATATGTCATTGTGCCTTTGGGTACCCTGGAAGCATGAACGACATCAACATCCTTGATGTCAGCCCGCACTTTGCAGAGGTTTTAAGCGGAGTCTACCCTCCTTTCCGCGTGGAAAGTGTAATTGCAGAAAAAAGGTTTGACTGGTTCTATTACTTGGCTGACGGAATATATCCGAACTACAAGGTTTTTGTCAAGACTTTGCCGGAGACACAAAATTCGCGAAAGCAAATGTTTCGAATGCGACAAGAGGCAGTTTGCAAAGCAGTAGAACGGGTTTTTGGGGTCCTGTTCGCTCGCTGGAATATTTTATATTCCCCCGGGAGGCTCTGGAGCGGAAGTGATATGGAGGAAATTGTCTCTGCCTGTGTCATACTTCACAATATGATCGTCGTAGAGCGCAGAGGAGGGTTTTCTGGCGATGGGACCGGAGGTGTGAGGATATCTGATGCGGAGATTGACGCTCTGATAGCTGCCGACTCTAGGTCCATCATTGTGCCAATTGCCTATGGTGAGAACAGCGGTACAGGGTGCTTTTCGTCTGCAGTTAGAATTGGGTCGACAGGGCACGATCGTGGGGATTATGCCAAGCATGTGGCGCTCACAAAAGCCTTAATCACGCATATTTGGCAATCTTACGCTAATACGGAACCTGAATGACCGTCTTGCACAGGGATTGGGTTTCTCTGATTGACACAGGTTCAATTACGTCGCACTCTCTACCGCCTCTAAAATCACAGGGCGCTGTACGCTGCACCCGAAAATAGTAGAGCTCCCGTAGGACGTTCCTGGAGCAGGCCGAGACCGGCCCGTCGGATCCCCCTCCACATAGTACAGTACCCTCGGTAATGTACAACGCAGTATATATGAGCGTGTTCGTCTCTCTTATCACAGAGCAAAGTAAGACAGAACACGACCTGGGGATAAGTCGCAGCAGTTAGCACTTGCAAAAGCTTTAATGTATGTCACAAAAATGTGACTCTCCCTCAGTGACCGCAATGTGTGGATGTCTCATTAAGAATATCTTTCATCTGCATGCTTCGAGGCCTCGAAGCCGGCTTAGAAATGTAATCACCAGAGACATAAGATGGACGTATCTCAGTTGGAAGAGGGTCATCATCATCGGGATGATTAAATTCTTCTCCATTTGCGATCAATGCGTGTGCAGAACTCGAATCCTCACCATAACAAGCCGCTTCCGTTGGACAGCTGCTTAACTCTTCGTCTAAGTCCTTTTCCAAATCGGCGAGCATCTTTCTTTCGGTAAGGCGGAGGTATTTCGATCTTGCTTGTGCGCTCACCCCCTCGCTCGAAAAACATTCTCGTCGTTCTCTCAGCTTCGCCAGTACCAAAGCCTTTTCTGCAACAATTGCTTTTCTTTGTTGCACTTTTTCTAGAAATTATAGCTTTTCGTTTGCTTCTTTTTTGACGCGTAGTGCATTGCTCATGTTCTTCGTCTTTTTGACGCCTACAGGTCGAGAGATAGCGTCTGGCACTTGCACCTCGGGTGCTCCTGTTTCCTGCGACTCTTCTATCGCGATTCCCTCCTGATCATATATTGCTGCAGCAGCCTCTGCTCGCTTTTTCTGAGCATTTCTACGCTTCTCGGCTTTGGTTGTCACTTCACCGATAGATTTCCAAATTCTTGTGCTCGACAAAAATTTCCAAGCTTCAGGAAATGGGAAAGGTCGAACGGGCTCGACGGGATCCGGAGAACAGTACAACTACATTTCTGTTGCAGAACTTACCTGGCCATTGTACATAGCTGTAGCAACTCGCTTATGATCTGAATCCGTGACATTACCGGTCATCGCTGCCTTAATCCTTTTCATGTTTGCCTCCATTTTCATGCATGCTGCTTTGATATCCTTAAATCTTTGCCGGACTGAGCAACCGGAACGTGATTCCAGAGGTAGTAGCACATCTCCCTGCTCGTAATGGTTTGTAATGAAATCGTTGTACCGCTCGGCAATCTGAGCTTCGAAAGTTCCTTTCCGCTGCGACGATCCAGTTACCGCGTTTTCAGATACCCCCATGTACGCCTTGCATGCTATGACGTCCTCAACGGGCGTCCATGACTTTCCCCTTCCCATAACGGCCAAACAGGAGAAGCAGGAGGGATATGTTAGTAAAAACAAAGGGGGAGGAGATGTGCGTACCTCTGTCATGCCTGATAAATGAATTTCCATGTGTATGTGTGTGCAATATGGAAGACTTTCGCGCGCTCTTTCCGTCACAAAACAGTGAAGGACGGCCATGGGCAGTTTGGGTGGCACATAAATGTCGCGGGAACCGTATGACTGAAAATAACCCGTAGGCCAGGCGAAGGGGATGGGGGCGGCGGTGGCGAGAAAGGCAGGACGAGAAATGCAGTATGGAAGACCTTTGCGCGCTCTTTCCGTCACAAAACAGTGAAGGACGGCAATGGGCAGTTTGGGTAGCACATAAAAGTCGCGGGAACCGTATGACTGGAAATAACCCGTAGGTCAGGCGAAGGGGATGGGAGCGGCGGTGGCGAGAAAGGCAGGACGAGAAATGCCAAGATTTGTGCTTCACGTGTGCAACGTGGCGAATAGATCGGGTCTATTGCCAGGTCTATTTCGGGGTCTGAATAGATCCTGCGATAGACCCACGGTATTTTTTGGTAGGGATAGACCCAGTGTTTTTTGGAACGAGTGGAGACGAATTGTCTAATGGGTCTAAAATTCATGGGCCATAGATCATTAGACCCAAAAAACACCAACCAGTGGAGATGCTCTAACGGGCTATTCTTATAAGGCGGAAGCTCTGTATGCGCTTTCCGCCAAGAACACCGGCTTACAAGAGCCAGCTCGAGTTTGAAGTGGAAAGAGCACGGCAACAATGCAAATGCAGGAAGGGAGTCCGGTCGCATTCCCAACGTCTTACATTGCAGCCAGCGAAATCTTACGCGCAAAAGCTGTGCGCAAATCTCGACACTTTTGTGCACAGAAAACTGAACGTCTCTTGGCGTTGACCAATTTCCAGCAATGAAAAACCTCCTCAACTACTAATTACGAGAAGAAAGTTACTTTCTCGAATGAAAAATTGAAGTAGCCCGGGGCTGAACTTGATCATGCGGCGGCGAATCTGGATTTTCTACGGCGCACTTCGTATGATACGTATTCTTGTAACAGTCACCCATTTCATTTTTGTCTTAGCTTTTCGCTGATACAAGTAAGTTAAAGCTTTACAGTACTACGACGTCCGCGTGCAACCCGTAAAAGATGTAGCACTGTCATAACGTCTTCAATCTCGCGACGACAGTTGGCAGATGTGGGTGACAAAGCATTCCTAATTTTCGTCGTGGGTTAGGAGAGAACGAACTATCGGTTGATACAAACACTGACCAGAGCCATGCAATGGTGCTTGAAATCTTGATACCGAGTGACTCATCAGCCAATAGCGGGCTTTGTGGTATTGCTGGAACAATTTTTTTCGGCTGCCTAGGACTTGGTTTGGTCCTCTGCTGACGTTGTCCGTGGTGGATGGAGCGACACTTGCGCTACCACTGTTTTCCTGGCAGCTTGATGCTGCCGACCAGATTCAATTTTCTTGGCGTTGCCCTCTACACGATACTCTTCTGATGTTTGTGATGCTTCTATGGAGCAATTGTGTTGAATCCATCCACTGCTGAAGTATCTTCCAAAGGCCCTTTTGTGATGACTCGTTCACCCAGTCTATTCCAAGTATTCTCATATCATTTTCTTCTCGCTGCCCTGTTGCAATCGAGGTCATGTATTGTTCACAAATTGGTAGCAATAGGGGAAATAACTTGAAGAGTTACCACTCTGAGTGGTACATCGATTCGCCGTCTTTGTTTTTTCTAAAAAGTTGCGGGTGAACGGTAGATCCCGTATCTTTCCTGGGAAATAACATCCCCAACCAACAACTTCAAGAAGTATCATAATACGGAGATCTCCAATGATCATATTTCTTTCGCTCCCTATCACACCATTACTTCCCATGTCGACCACACTGCGAATTTGAGCATTCGCTGCTTCCGATCGGACTGGCACGGTTGAATAAGATTGTTTTCTAGCTCTTTAATTATATGCGGGTTTCATTCGGCGACCGGCAAGTATTCAGATTAACCATTAGATACTATGATAGAGGCGACACCAGCCTTACCCAAGAGCTCATTCAGGGGCACCCATCTTTAAAAATCTCATTTAAACAAGATATTTCTCTTATGCCTCGATTCTCTCCTTTTTTTTGTTGACATTCATAATGTCTTATCCTTGTTTGAGCTTGTTCGTTTCCCTGGGACTCAAATCAAGTGCACGAATTTGTCTTTGCTATCGAATTGTGGATACAGTACTCTCGTTGGGAGGGGAGCCCCCAATATTGGACAACCGTAGAAACGATTTCAATTCCAGAGTGCGAGCTTTTACGAAGGCATGCACTTCTAAGTGAAAAGAGTAGACAAGTATGGGGAGATAACGAAAAGGTTCAGCTGTACCGGCAAATAATAATAGTGAAGTATACAGTGAGGTATGTACTGTAGAAACGGCAAGCATCCTTCTATCATATGCGCGACAACTCTTGTGCAAGATCTTTATATCTCGGAGATTCGTTTTCGTCTCTTACGTTCAGATAAGTTCTCTCGAACACATTTTATTTCTCTACCAATCAAGAAAAGGTTTCGCAAGGAGGCACCCCTTATTCAAATGCAATCTTGAGTTCAACAGTGCCAAGAAGCAAACGTTGAAGCGGCCTTGTGTATGGTAATATTTTTTTATCGTAGGATGCAACCTAACATTTGAGGCAGTTTTGCGTTGATGTTCCTTCATCAAACTCGTGACTGCCACCCGAAGCTGTTGAACACTCTTGAAGATTTTGGCGATTTAGAATGCTATAAAAGCAGTTCCAGTCCTCATCAGCTTTCTCTCCCACTGAAGCAAGACCAAACAGACTTCCAGCAAGCTCGTATCTTACATTTGCCCTCGCTAACATGATTCGTACGGGAACATTTTTCCTTTTGGCCCTTCTGGCCCTGTTCGCAGTCGCTTTCGCCCTGGACGAGATTCCCGTGGAAGGCGATCTCACCGAACAGAATGACATTGGAGAAGACATGAATGTGGCGGAACGCTCGTATTACCCGTATTACCCGCCCAAGCGCCACCATGGATACCCGAAGAAGCCCTATTACCCGCCCAAGCGCCACCATGGATACCCGAAGAAGCCCTATTACCCGCGCCACCCTCCCAAGCGCCACCATAGATACCCGCGCAAGTACCATCAGAAGAAGCACCACAAGCCGTATTACCACTGAAAGAGTTTCCTTTCTGGCTGTGAACTTCTACTTAGGCTATCTGTCCGTCGTCAGCAGTGGTTGAAGCTAAGTTGAGAAGTGTCCCATTGGAAGTGAGAATCCCCTTTCTGAAGCGCGGACGCTTGGAGAATAGCTATGAAGAGTGTATTCGCTTCTAGTGAGTCTGATCCCTGAGATCGAGAGTCGCTGTAGTCTGCAATAAATGTCATGAGAGCCATACGCACACACGTTGCACACGTACAACAGCGATCAACTCACCACGATCGCCGCCGGCCTACGGATCACTGGCATCCCTACATAAGGTAGATAGACACGCGACCCCAGTAAACCGAGGCATCGATCTTGCATCACAATAAAAAAAAGTTACTAAAATCTCTGATAGCCTGCCGCTCATCATCTGTGTGTTCATTTATCTTCGGGTTGACAAACACCAGATATAAATATGTACAGTGTGAAAGGAGATTATGCAGTGGCCTTGGTGCAAGCACGTATCGGGTCAGTTCATTTGGGCGAAGTTACGCGGTACGGGTGTCTCGAGGGACCAGAGCAATTGCGAGATGACACCATGATGTGTTATACACTACCATCGTACGAGGACACCGTAAAGAGAGAACACGGCTCCATGTCGTGGGGCCTCTTGCCGTGTACAGCTCGGCGCCAGCATTGACAGCTCGGCGCCAGGGCCTAATGACCTATCCGATGAGTGTACTGTACGGTGGTACAGAGGTAATATGCACAGTCACAGTCCTTCCTGAGAAACGAAACGCAAAGCGTAACTACGATTGCAGGACACCTTGCCATATTTCACGGATAGGCAACCGTGTACATTTTCAAGAGGTTCGACCTTTACCAAGTGACAGGCCTCCAAATACTTCTAGAGCGGAATGACTCTACATGTCATGTTAAAAGTAATCGCACAGCTATGGGCGAGTAGCACACACCAGGCTGCTTTTGGTGCTCGCAACAGAAGCGTTCCCGAAAAGAAAGATACAGCACTTGCACGACAGGGGAGGTCACAGTCCGGGACGTCTGGGAAGCAGGATTCTCAAGAATCAGTACCGCACACAGTTGCATGTGTGACAAATCACAGGACTCAGAGGCAATCGCTTCTCGGTCGACCGACTGTGCGATCGCACAGGTAGCTAGCAGCGGTCGGCGTAAAGGAACTAAGTGTAGAAGCAAAAGCAAGAGAATTGGCGAAGTCAACGCGTGCGTCTCCCACGGGTCCCCGGATCTCAACGCAGCGTGCTGCCTTTATTTATCAAACCCAAACGGGTGCGGCAACCCGCACTCTCCGCCCGGTGTCGTCCCTGTCAGGCGACGACAGTTGTGCTGCCCCATAAACGCCTCCTGATCAGGCAGACCAGGACCACTGCTGTGCTGCAGTGGGGCTTTTCGCTCGGTGGTAGTTCCATGACGTACTTACAGTAGTCAGAGGGGGTACGGGTGCGCATTGACGTTAGCTCTTTCGAAGGCTATGCACCCAGTATCGCAGTCTCAGACGTGGCTGCCCACTCACCTCTGCGGCAGGCTCGCACTACGGGATCAATCCTGCCGCGCCCGAGGCATCCTGCGGTAGACATCTCGATCCTTAGCTAGCCTCGCGAGCACAGGGCGCTCCACATGGCAATAGAAGCGTCTCTGTCCGGAGCGCAAGGATTAGGGGATTGCAATTTAGCTTCATAATAGCCACCGGACTACTCAACCCTGCATCTACTACCCCATCTCCGTGATCTATTCGCAAACCTGTTAATCTACCCTCTAACAGGGCGGAGAGAGCCACAGAGAGATCCTCTCGTGTAGGAAATTTTTTTCATCGGATCTCAAAAATGCCCGACGCTTGTCTGTCAGGAGAAACAGCACCCAAATCTCCAGTCCTCAGATACCGCGCAACGATCTCGCCCTCATACCCAACATCACGTGTAATCCCTCTTTGTACATCCCACACTCGCTCGACCCTATGATTCAACCGAGATGTCACATATCATCCTTCCGCGCCCATCGCAACGCTATTTACACGACTCTCTAAGTGTCATGTCATTGCGCCAGCCGACTTGTGCTCCAGTCTCCACGTCCAATACTCGCACGCTATTGCCACGCGATCCAGATGCCGTACGGCTTCCGTCTCCATTCATCGCAACGCTGAGCACTCCATGGGTGTGTGCACACAATGCGTTATCGACTAAAGCTCACGTCTCACAGTCGAACGCTCTTGTCACGCGATCCAGACGCCGCATGACTTCTGTCCAGACTAAGCACAATGGTACCCACACCCGACTCATGACCATGGAGACTTCTCCAAATTTCTCTTCCGATAAACTCCAAAGCGTTACTGACTCATCCATACTTTACAAGCGCATGGCTGATACTCTCACAGACAGACGTGCTCTCTGCCCTCGTGAAATGGGGCTTTTCTGTAGACACTTTGGATGTTAGTTCGAATACATGATCCAGTACATGCCTCCAAACTTTTTAGCTTTTTTTCCCACAGTTCCAGCAATGCTTCCTGAACCCCGACCCCTCTGCCATGATTCCCATGCACAGCTCACACATCTGTGACACGCATACACGTATCACAGATAGCAGCTCCCCGGGCAGCACCTCCGTCCCGGCACCTCTTCCATTTAGTAGAGCCAGGACCGACGGCCTCAGGGCCGTTCCGAACGAAGAGTTCGCGGTGCTAGCACCGGTGTTTCTTCACTTTATCACAGGGTATCATAGGGGCATATCCTAACGCATACGGTAGATTTCACGCTTACACGTGGAGTGGGTGGACAACGTCTGTGGCATGCGCCGGCATGCGGGTGAGGATGGGGGTGGCCACAGTAGACCATATTGCGTAGCTGAGACGTTGTTGGATCTGAGTCTTGGCTGCAGCAAAGGAGCAGTGTCCACAGTAGGCAATCGACTTCGAGAGCTCATCAAGGACACGCACTGAGCATGCAGAGGGGGCTCCAAGGCTGTCAAATGCTGGCGGGACGAAGTGCCAGTGGAACTCAGGAGTAGGGGCGTCCATGGAGATGTGCAACGCATCATGTACCGTGCGTTTGAGGGCTGCAATTTTTGCGCAGTGCCCAGCTTCAGCGGCCGCGGCAGGATATTGAACAGCTTGTCTCAGAACGGCTTTGGCATACGGACTGCGAACGGTTACATCATAGGCGGTAGGCTTTTCGGGTAGGGCGCCCGGTGGTGGAGGAGAAGGTTGGACGAGCACATCAGCTGGGCGGTGTTGTGTAGGGGGGATCAGAAACGGAACTTCGATCTTGCATTCCCTTCCAGCTGCACGGAATAAATGTCGCACTAGCGTGGATCGAACTGCATTATGGCCATGGATGATACCAAATTCATGTTTACACTGCGTTGCGTGATCACCTCTCCAATCCATTCGTTTGCTGCAATGAGGACATATCAATGGCCGGATCGAATCTTCATACACAGGAATATTGAGGTGGCGCCTGAGCATAACAGACCATTGAGCGTTGTGAACTGTAGACGTCAGCGATGGGTCGGCATTAAGGAAGACAGAGGCACCCGGTGCCATTAAATAAAGAACGCACTCGACGCCGGACCGTGAATGTACTGTGCGCGGAAGGATTGGGTTGTGCACTCCACAGCTAGTGTTTCCAGTATCGGTTAGCCGCAGCTTGATGAATGACCTGAAATAAGTAGTGAATGATTCGTTCAGGTCGTTCTATCAGCGTCTCTGGCTCTAAGAAGCCGAGATCATAATCAGCGCCCATTAGCAGTGGTTTATAGCCTTCAGGGCGCAGGGAAGGCGGGAGAGTGGAGACCATTCGGTGAAGTGGAGCGCGGGCCATACGGCGGTATTCTTGCACTGAGGGAAAGTTACGTCCCCTCACGCGTGACGGAGCGGAGTCGATAAGGCTGGCAGCATAGGACGACTCAAGAAGCGGTTTCATTGCGATGAGACCCTCTCCACCGAAGCGAAAGGGAAGGCGTATTTGAGATGTGACCGAAGTAGACAGCGGGATATTGTTGAAACGGGAATAAGCTCGAATTTGCGAGTCATCAAACAGCATGGCAAGCGACTCCGAGACCTTTGGCGGGATTAGTCGGAACATATGATGAACACGGCACACAGACGCTGTCACACGGTGTAAGTCAAATTTTGTGCGAGCATCATCAATGTCGCTTATCAGTGTTATGGTGTTGTCAAAATGCAGCAATTTGTCTTTCATGTGGCGTGTCATGAAAGGCAAATTGCCAATCGGCGCAACGAGCAGCAAAATTCCCTCACTCGATATGTTGGGAGCGGGTAGGACTGAAGTGAGGGACTGCTGAGGAACGGAAGGACTATTAGGCCAGTACATTCTTGTCTTCGACTTGTTTATGAAAAACTGGTGTGATGGACCTTCTGATATGAGGAGACGTAGTGTGCGAAGAACTTGAGGGAGAGGTCTAGCTAGAGTGCCATCGTCTGCGTACCAACGATTCATGGCCAGGTTGCAGGATTCGGAGATGCGGCGGACAAGTTGCTGAATAGCAAGGGAAAATAAAAGCAGGCTTGGGGGTCGCCCTGCTGTGTTCCCTCCTGACTGTGTATGATGTGCGGTGGTGTGGACGGGAGGCCTAGCTGTGGAACTGTGTGCCCATAGACAAGGTTGCAGAACCGGGCTAAGGAAGGCGCCTGACGGGGAAGCGAGTGGAGTATTTGTTGTCGAGAAAATGACTTGAATGCGTTGCTTGCATCTATGGACACTATGAAGAATTCCAGATCGTCGGAATGTCGTCCGGCTAGCATCCGAGCGTCATGAACAAGCGCATCCATGCCATTTTGCAGGCTGTTCGCTAGCTGTTCCGGGTGGATGTAGTCACGAGTGTCGGAAATGGCTGCATCGAGGAGGAATTTCATGACGAGGCGCCGGAGGCACTGGCCTATAACTATCGGCCGGAGTTTTGACGGGCGCTGTTGTATGGGGAGTAGTGTGGCAGCGGCAGTCAGTGTCATTGTGGCCTCGGGGACGTCACCGCTCGCTAAGCGGCGGACCAGGCGCGAGAGAGTGCCCAGGCCTGTTATGCAAGCCGTAGGGCTGACAGGCGACTTTGGTAGGAGATGTAGTAGGCGTGGGGACATGCGATCTGGTCCGGCAGCAGAGTGGGGGTTCATGCGTTGGACAGCGTGCATTACTGAATTTTCCTATGACTAGTACTTCCGTCAGTTCCGGGATTCCAGTAGTTTTTGGGCATGTGTCAGTGCAGGTACGTAATGACAAAATACGGTTGGTACGGGCTGCATTCAACGAATATGCGTTTTTGGTACTGACTACGGAGCATGCCCCAAAACGTATCGGAATGGCCGGTTTTACCCCCTCGCAATTTCCGGTGGAACGATACGTTTTGGGCCGATTTAC